AAGGATGAGTTAGAAGACACTGAGCGTGTTTAGCCTGGAAAGGGGGAGACTTGTGGGAGAGGCATGGTCAAGTACTCTGTCCTGGGATAGAGATATTTGGCCTGTTTTGCTTGGCCCCAGAAGACAGAACAAAGAATAATAGAGAGTAGAAGTTGGAGAGGGGCAGATTTAGACTCAGAAGAAGGAGAAACTTCCTAATGATTAGTACTATCCACAAGTACACTGGGCTGTCTTCAGAGCTCCTAAGGGAGCTTAGGAGATATCCCAAAGGAAGGGACATCTTTCAGTCTTGACCACTTGTCAAGAATGTCATAGAGGCTGGTTAGACTGACTGGCCACTGAGGTCTGAACTCTGAGATTATTTGATTCTGTGTATATTAATGTAAATAAAAATCATAACCCCAAACAGTGCACTGCTGAAAGTCAAATCAGTTACTATGATTCTGTAAATTTCATTTGTCTCTGATGCCTTCCACCTTTTTTCTATATAATCTCATTTTTCTTCACTTTTTCTATGTAATCAATTAACAATCACTTATTAAGCTCTTTATCCCACTTAAAGAGATTTTGAAGTCCCAGACAATAAGTTGTTTACTTCAAGAAATAATCATTATAGCTAAAATACCACATCCAAGTTTTGATATTCCATTCTGTCCCCTCCAAGACCTTGCCTCAGCCTATGATCACTTGAACAAGTTTGCACTATATACACTTCTTTAGGTCTGGAGGTATATGGGCTGCTTTTTGCCTTCTCTTGCTTAATGCTCTAGCAAAAACAAGGTGATTTTCCCCCTCTCATTCATTTTCATTAAGTCTGGAAAGATCGATTGAAGCCATATTGAGGAGAACTTTAAATGCTAGGTCGAGGAGTTTGTTTTTTATCCTGGTAGCCATAATGAACCGTTTTAAGCAGGGGAAATTATTTTGGCAGACTTGTTCAGTATGAAAATGATTTTGGTAGCTCGCTCTGTGAAGAATGCATTAGCCAGTGGTGAGAATGAAGGAGAGAAAAAGAAATATGAAGCTGTTAAAATAGCCCCGTGATAGGTAATAAGAATTTTTGCTTAGGCAGTAGTAGCAAATGATATTATAGTGATCAAATCTCTGACATTTGACAGGTAAATTGAAAATGTTGGTGTCATTTTCTATTTTTCTAACTCCCTCACTCTGCATATTTAAAATGACACCAGTGTTTTCAACCTAGGTGATTGGGAGCAAGATGGTACCCTCAAACAAAATGGGGAAGTTAGAAGGTAGGGAGTAAATGTAGAGGGGCAATGATGACTTCCATTTGGGACATGTTACATGAGGCTTAGAGAACCTAGAAGAGAACCTTATAGTAAGGGGACATTCATACTTAGGGGATAGAAGGAGGAAGATGAACCAGCAAGAGATGTGATTGGTCACTAGATGGGAGGAGAGCCAAAGGAAAACCATCCTATTGCCAAGGAAGGACAGAGAGAGGGTATATAGGAGGAGATGGTTAATAAATAGTGGGAAATGTTGCAGAAAATCCAAGGAGGAGGATGAGAACTAAGAAAAGGATTAGAATTAGCAATTAATCGACCATTCATATCTATCTAGTCTCTTTGACCAAGTGATCCTACTATTGAAAATACCTCCAAAGAAGTCAAAGACAAAAACAAAGATCCATTATATACTAAAATATTCATAACCATACTCTGTGGTAACAAAGAACTAGAGAAAAGTGAGGGCTTATTGATCTTAAAATGGCTGAAGAGGCTATGACATAGGAATGTAATGGGATTTTAATGTAGAGTAAGAAACGTTAAATATGAGGAATTCAGAGAAAAATGAAAGATTGCATGAACTGATGCAGAATAATAGAAGTAGAATCAAGGAAACGATATGTGCGGTAACTGCAACAATGTAAATGAAAAGATTATCAAAAGGAAGTTGAACTCTGAGCAAGTGAAAAATCAGTGAAAGGCCTAGAGCAGACATGATGACTCATACTTCACCCCTCAAGGCATAGAGGTGAGGGACTAGTAGGACGTGATACTTTGTATACGTTGTCAGATTTGATCACTATATCAGATGCTTTCCCTGATTACTTTTCTTTGACACATGGGAAGGTTCAGTGTGTGTGTGTGTGTGTGTGTGTGTGTGTGTGTGTGTGTGTGTGTTGGGGTTTGAGGGGGATGGATATGTGTATAATGACTCTGATCTAAATACAAAAATGATCAGTAGGAAGATTTAGGTGTGTTTTTTTTTTTTTTTTGAGAGGTGTCATTTGTGATCTTGGAGAATTAGTTTTATTAGACCAGTAGGGAGAAAAGCCAGAGTCCTATTGCAGCTTTCTCCCTATTACACTTTGCATCAGTGGAGCATGGTCCCCAAGACAAGACCTTCCTTTGTGGAAGAAACCATTCCAAAATCACCCTCTGGCTCCTCTTTGCCTTTATCCACAGAGAACATTTATATACACACTTATAAATGAAAGGTGTGGTTACTGCGCTGAAAAGTCCTAGCCACAATTTAGTAGCAGATGAAGGATTTTTGCATCCCAGAGCTAAAACAGAGTAAAAACAAACAAAAAGCCTTCGTGGTGTTTTAACATTGTTAGATTACAATAATAACAATAATAATAATAATAACTTACATTTAGCTTATTTGAAGCTGGCTTGTTTGAAGCTCTTTACATATTAAATCATTTGATTCTCACAATAACCCTGTGAGATACGGGCTATTATTATCTATTCCCATTTTACAGATGTGGAACTTCAATTTGAGAGAAGTTAAATGACTTGCCCAAGGTCACACAGTATGTGTGGCAGGGTTTGAACTTAGGTCTTTCCTGCTCTGAGTCTAGCACTTTATCTGCATTATGTCACACCATCTCAGAATTTGCATGTAGGTTAGTCTTCCTCATTTCTCCCTTTTTCCTGGATCTGATTTTTGATTTAGTCATACTAATGAATTTCTGCTATATGTATCTGCTACCCCTATTTTACAACTTTTCAAATGTTGCTGTTTGTGTTTAATATTTATTCTCTCAAAATCTGACTTTAATACCTCCCTTTCTCAAGTCCTTTCTAAGGTTTACACTTCTTTCATGAAACCTTCCCTATTTAAATTATGTCATAGACTCCATTTTGATTTATTCCACCCCATTCATGAATATTAGAATCCCTTAGCTTGAAACATTGCCTGTTTGAATTATCCATATTATAGTTTATTAGCTTCACTCTTCCCAAGTGTACCAATATCTCTTAATGCCTTTTATAAACACTTCAGTACTTTGAGAATAGTGTGGGCACCCACTCTACCAGTCACACCTTCCATAACTTAGCAAGCAGATGGTCTTTGAGATTAACTGTGTTGGAAGAATTAATCATCCTGCAGCCAATCTTGTGATGAATTTAAACATAGTTAGGCTGGTGATGGTTTCATAGGCTTAGAGCTGGAAAGGTGCTTTGGACCACAGACACAACCCATCATCAGGCCTGCACCCGATGCCTGTCCAATGTGGTTGGCACCTGCCAAAGCTTGTGATCTTCTGGCATAGCTTTCAAAAACCCACTGGTATCTCCATGCTACAGTCAGGCATCAGAGTGGGGCCTGTTTATCTAGCTGTTTTAGTATAGTTTACTTATAAAATGAAACCGGAAATCCAAAAATATGTACAACGGGTAGAAATATACGTGATGAAGTTGCCTTGTTACTCTTTGTGAATGATTGTTGGTAGCTCTCTGTTTTATCATTCTTTCTGAATGCCTTCCATTTAATTAGAGTGCAAGCATGTAGAAGACAGGGATGATGTCTCTTCTACCCATTTTGCCTAAGTCTTGTTAAAGTCAAATGTATTTATAAATAAGTTACTTAAAGTTGCTTAAATAAAGTTACTTAAGTTGCTTAAAGACACTTCACCATGTTTGCTAAAAACTAAAAAATGCATCTCTTTATTATACATCCAAGGATAACACAGGTTCATAAAACACATTATTCTAGAAAAATTGTAATAATTGCATTTATATAGCTCTTTGAAGTTTGCAAAGTGACTTGGTGGTGTTGTGGGTAAGAGTACTGCTAGACATGGTGTGATGGATGACCCTAGACAAGTCACTTAGCCTCCCTCAGCATCAGTTTCCTCATCCATAAAATGGAGATAATAATAGCACCTATCTCCGAAGGTTGTTGTAAGGATCAAATGAGATAATGTAAGGCACTTATTACAATGCCTGGCACATAGTAGATACTGTATAAATGCTAGCTGTTATTATTGTCTCATTTGAAGTTCATGGCAACCCTATGAGGTAGGTACCTCAGGTATTATTATCCCTATTTTCCAGATGTGGACACTGAAGATGACAGAAGGTAAACTTTGCCCATCATTCCCCAGCTAATGTCAGAGGTGAGATTTGAACTCAAGTTTCTCCAGTGACTACAGATTCCAGTGCTTTATCTCCTATGCCAGAGTCTCTTTGACAAACTTTTTAACTTAATGAGCCATCATGAAAGATGGCTGTCAATATTACTTGTTTGCTTTCAGGATAAATTATGACATTTATTTACCTCTTTCCTCATTGATATAATTTTCCAACTTGGGCCTAAATCTTTTTAGAAAACAAAGCCTATTACAACCATTTTGCCTCCTTTACGTTTTCATTGTTCTTTTGGTTACTTGTTGGAGCATTTTTTTGGTATTTGGAAAGGTGTTGATATTTGATTACTTGATATAGTGAGAGAAGCTGCCTTGTGGTTGCCAGGAATTATTTGGTCTCTTTAATCATTCTGGTAAGATTAAGCAAGTCAGGCCCAATCAGGTCATTGGGCCTGATCTTTGCAGGAAACTCCATTGGAATTGTTGAGCCTTTCAGCCTCGACACACACCAATGTTATCAAATGGTAACTCCCTGTTTAAAGGAAGATGAGGGGCTATATTTTCAGTACTTAAATAATTTTTCTTTCTGTTTATGTTGGTAAATGAAAAAAAAAAACTAAAGTCATTTAGCTCTGGCATTTTCGTGTCTTCCCAGGTATATCTTGAAAGGCTTTTAACTTATGCAGAGATAGATATCTGTCCAGCAAATTGGAAGAGAATTGTACTTGGAGCAATTCTATTAGCATCCAAAGTTTGGGATGACCAGGCAGTCTGGAACGTGGATTACTGCCAGATCCTGAAAGACATCACAGTAGAAGACATGTGAGTTAATATTATTTACTTATCACACAAAACTAATAAACTTTCTGAGATGAGACTAATTAATGATGATAATAATAATAACTAGCATTTCTACAGTACTTTAAGATTTATTAAACACTTATCATGTTATCTCATTTAATACTTAGAACAATTCTATAAGTGCTATGATTATCTCCATTTGACAAATAATAAAACTGAGCCTGAAAGAGGTTAAGTGACTCACTAGTCACTAGTTAGTTTCTGAGGCAGGATTTGATCTCAGGTCTTCATGACTCTAAGTCCAATACTCATCATGCCACCTTGCTGTCATTCTTGTGGAGTGCCTTGTGTTCCAAACAAGTACAGGAAGCTACTCCAAATTTTGTGTAATTATGGTTCTCTGAAATTGGTCTTTTTTCTTTTTTAACTCAGCATTTCCCTACCTCTTTCAGTTTAAAAGGTGGACCTACCCTATTCACTACACTGGTTTTGCAGCACATTTTAGCTAGTCTTATTCAATTTCCATGACCCTCCTCATCCAAAGTTAAACCTGGATGGTAAACCCCAGAGCATGTGACTATGGATTCAGATCCGTAAACTGGCATACTTTTGCCTCTTCAGCTTGTACTTTGTCCCATTCAGTCATGGATTTAGCATGTCCCCAGGCAGTGAGGCACTCCATTCTTTGTGGGTCCTTCAAAGCCTTGAGCTATTTCTCCTGAGTCTTTAGAAGAGAAACATTCCTTTCCTTTCCTTTTCTCTTTACTCTCCTTTATTAAATAAAATAGACAAACTGTGGTGGTATTCCTGATACTGAAAAGAATAAGACAGTATGCAATTTCTTATTAAAAGTATAAAACAGTTTGATATTCTCTCCAGAAAGAGCATATTATAGATTCTATGTTCCATTACAGGTTACAGATGTTAAGAACATTTATTTTAAGACTTTAATCATAGCATTTGCTCAGTAATTGACTCCTAATATATAGCATTAAAATCTGACACACTAATTGAACTAGGCAAAAGTGAAACCCAGCTGGCCACTTTTAGTTGAACTAAGATGTGGTCAAGATATGTTTTGATCATACGTTAGAGTATGTAGATACATATGGCGTACTACAGATGTAGCATTGTAGATTTGTTGTTTCATAGGTGTAAAGAGCTGAAAGAGACTTCAGAGTTGTCTAGTCGAATCCTCTCTTCTTACAGAGAAGGAAACTGAGGTTCCATGGAGGTTTAAGTGAATCATTCAAGGTCACACAGGGAGTAACTTTTAAATATGTGATTAGAACTCAGATCTTCTGATTCCAGAGCCAATGCTTTGTCCATTCTTCCATGCGGTGAAGTGTTCAGTGTGATTATTTTTTAAAAACCAATTTCGTATCTATAGGGAAAAAATAACTGAAATCACTAGTAGAACCAGATTTAGCACCTATGCCTCCTCAGACCAAGAACAAAGTGACTTTGATGACTAGGGATGAATACCAGGAAAATGGACTGCTGTGATAGTTTGGATGAATGAGTAAATGAATGAAAATGCATTTATTAAGCAAAGCATTATGCTAAGTGTTGGGAATATGAACAGAAAAGTAAGACAAACCCTGGTCATAATGAACTCATGTACTGAGAGAGGAATGCACAAACCTATATGTGAAAGTCCAGTTATTTTAATAAGTATGTATACTGGATGGCAAAGACATGGTTTCATGTCTTATTTCTGACACATACTAAATGACTCTGGACAACTCACTTAACCTGTTACCACTCTAGGCAATTTTCTGAGAATATCATTTACAGATGAGTTATTTATATGCATTGATGGAACAAGTTTCTGTAACAGTAGTTGCCTGATTCAAAAAAAAAAAAATCCCACAGCTATGGATGCCCCAAAAATCAGATTGAGAGTTTTGGTAAATTTAGGCTTCCTTAATAAAACAACTGCCCAGCTACCTCCTAGGAACAGTGGAGAAAGTGCTGGACTTGGAGTCAGGAATAACTCTATTCAGAGTCTGCCTCAGATACTCACTAGCTGTGTGACCTGGGCAAGTTATTTAATATCTCTCAACCTCAGTTTCCTCATCTGTCAAATGGAGATAATAATAGCATCAACCTTACAGGTTTGTTGTGAAGATCAAATGATTATAGTAAAGTGTTTTACAAACTGTGCTATATAAATGTTTGCTATTTTTATCATCATAATTATTATTAACTAGGGTTTTATGGAGTTATATTAGGAAATAAACGAAAGTTTCTGGAATAGTCTGTGACCCTAATTCTAAATAATTTCTTTCTAAATAAAAACAGAGCCACCAGAAAACTATCCATTGATCGTTAGATTCTTTATGGCAGCATTAAGTAGAAATCCGAATTTTATTTTGGATGCATTAAAGACCCCATCCTCTCAACTGGCCAGTGCTGTGTGTGTGACTACACTCAGCATGACCAGGTTCTGTGTCCAGTCCTTAGCACTACTGAGAAGTATACTGAATGCTCGGCCAGAATTCACCCAGCCCAGACATAGTAACAGCAAATTTAGAATTTATTATGATTTGTAATAATTTTTAACTTTCACTTAATTTTTTGGATTCCCCTAGAGTTTATGACCTATGAGTCCCTACCATCCTATTCTAGCCCCAAATAAAGCCTTTTTCTTGCACTGAAATAGAAAAATTTTAATTGAGTTAAGCAGCTTGGTGCGCAGATATCTTTTTTTAAAGAACCAGAGATATTACAGTGTATGAAGAGGTTAAATTTAGCATTTTAGCCAAAAAAATTACTGAACTCCTTTGACCTGAACTCTCTGTCCTTTGTGAAAAATGTTGTTGACAAGGCTGCCCCATCCATCATGTGAGCCAATGATCAGAGCATAAAAGAATTCTTACAGAAGTTGGTTGATGTCTCCAAACATGTCATGGTGGGCAGAGGAAGAAAATAATAAATGTTTGCATAGGCGTAGCTTGTTTCGTTCTACTTAAAAGGTCAAACTACAACGTTAGGGTAGTAGAAGTCTAAATAATTTTTACTAGCTTGGCCCTCAAGCAGGGTCCTGCTTCTTCCCCATGAGCTCGGTGTTTATGAGTATGAAAAATAATTAGTAATAAAAGAGGCAACATGGTGGCATATGAGGACAAACCCCGTCAATCCCTTTAGGGATATATGTGGCTCCATTGAAGTAGAACGTTCTAAATCTGGCCAATTCAGTAACAAGACTAAAAACTTGTCAGAAAGTGGTTTAAAGGTGTAAATGAATGTTCACAGCATCAATTACACTGTGGGTTTTTGTAATCACTCTTGTCATTTGACCACACCCTCTTCTTTCTTTCTTTCTTTCTTTCTTTCTTTCTTTCTTTCTTTCTTTC